GCAGAGCCGAGCTGAGCTTTGGGTTGTTTGGGCTCAGCTCGTCATTTGCAGGGAAGTGTTCAGGCTCGGCTTGTGAACAGGGCGAGCTTGGGCTAGCCGAGCTCTAGCTCGGGCTAGGTAGAATTGCGAAAAGCTCGGGCTCGGTTACATACCGTGCAATCACAATGCAAAGAAAACAGCACCTCTCTTTCATGAAATCTGATCGGAGATGGTCGCTTCCATGAAATCCAATCTCCACCTCCAATGGAAAAGAAGAAGAAGAAGAAGTTTCCACCTCCAACAGAAAAGAAGAAGGAGAAGAAGAAAACAAACAAATTTTCAGGATCGAAATCAAACCTTACAAGAGTTTAGGGACTCAATCTAAAGATATATTCTGCCTGAACTTAAAGATGCATTTGAGAGAGAGAGAATGGTGCTGCTGTTGTTTGTGATATTATCTGAAGAGCACTTGCCACTGCCGCTAGAGACTTCTTATTTTTAGGGTTATACTTATCTTATTAACTTAAAACAAATCAACGGTTCAGAAGATGAATCAATGTTTAATGGCTGAGATGTAATTTTATTTGAATGTGGGCTAAAGTCTTATAATTTCTTGGGCCTCATTAAGGTAATTATGGTAATTGGGCCAAACATAAATTCATATGGACCAAACCTTTTAAATGTAAAATGGTAATACAAATGGGCCTTTCTTAACGAGCTTGTTCCCGAGCCTAGCAAGCCAAGCTCAAGGTTGCTCAAGCTTGGCTCGTTTACTAAACGAGCTTGAAAATCGAGCTCGAGCTTGGCTCGTTTACTAAATGAACGAGCCCGAGCCTGACTTTTAACTAGCTGAGCCCGAGCTATTTATGAATAGTTCGATTCATTTGCAACCCTAATTATTACTTCTCTTTTTTTGTTGGGTTCTTGGGAGAAATTGTAAATCTTTGGGGGAGAGAGTTGATTTTTTGGATATTTTGAGAGTTTAGGGGTTCTAGTTGGTCCTTGTGTAGCTTTTGTTGGATGCGTTACCCATTTGATCGTTTTTAATGATATCTAACTTATCAACAAAAAAAAAAAAAAAAAAAAAAAAAATTGAATTTGTGGCTATTATTTCATCAGTCTAGTTTTGGTACTCTAAGTTTGACATAGTTGTTAGACTACCTACCTATTGTCCCAAAAGTTTAAGTTGTTAGAGAATGGTTCCAACAATGTATTCAAGCTCTAACCCATCCCATGTGCAACCCTATCTTTTGTGTGTCAAGACAAACATACCAAACCTAGTTCAAATTCATAAGAACGGCAAACTTGTACACTAAGTTAGGGAATAAAAGCAAATATGGAGACGTGAACCAAGAACTCCTAGGACATGGCTTTGATATTATGTCAACCACCATCAACTCTAAATGCTTAAACTGTTAGGGAGAGTGTAATTTACTTATTTATACACTCTAACATGACCTTTCACATGTGAACAAATTTTGGTCCCACGTGTACAATTATAATTATGAAGGTGAGAATGAGGTTTGAACTTGAGACCTTTTGGCTCAACCATGTTAACAACCGCCTACTCCAAAAGTTGAAGCTGTTAGAGAGTGGGTGCAACAATGTGTACCAAGCCTAACAATAGTTATAATTTATGGATGTGTTTATTTCAGATTCACCAACTTTTGTCCTATGTTCTTTGTATTTTTGGGTCCATGGGAAAAGAGGCCTAATTTTTTTTATAAGTAAATATCATTGAAAGAGCTCTTAAAAGGGGATTGCATCCCAGAATGAAAGCACAGAGGCTAAAAGGAGCTACTATACCTTTAGACTATCCACAAACTCAACTAAATTCCCTACACCCCTAAAATTTCTTCCCCCCAACACACAAATGTAGAATTTCAACGCTTAAGCAGGATCTCGCAATACGACAAAGCATCTCCTATTCTTATAATAGCTCTCACCCCAACAGACACAATATTGTCTGCTTTTGGTTCCCCTGGACCAGAGACTTCCCAGACAAAACATCTCATAATCCTGTAACAACCCTCACCCCAATAGACACAATATTGTCCGTTTTTGGCTTCCCCGGACCAGAGACTTCCCAGGAGGTCACCCATCCTGGTACTACTCCGGTTAAGCACGCTTAACTCCGGATAGGTTCACATCCATTATGGCTTTAAAACGCGTTGTGTCATAGAAGGATGATGAACTTGTATAGCACTTCACTTTTCCATACCCAGGCGATATGGGAATTGTGAGCACACGTAGCTCTCACAGGCATGCTCCCGTCCACCGAGCCTCACAATTCCACCCCCCTTGGGGGCCCGACGTTTTCGTCGGCACACTTCCGGCTGGGTTAAGCTCTGATACCATTTGAAACGGCCCTCACCACTACCCCAACAGACACAATATTGTCCACTTTTGGTTTCCTCGAACCAGAGACTTCCCAGAAGGTCACCCATCATGGTACTACTCCAAGTTAAGCACGCTTAACTCAGGAGTTCTGATAGGTTCAGGGCCATCACGGCTTTAAGACGCATTGTGTCACAGAAGGATGATGGACCTACATATAGCACTTCACTTTTCCACACCCAAGCGATGTGGGAATTGTGAGCACACGTAACTCGCACTAGAGCCTTGCCTCTCACAAGCTTGCTCCCACCCACCTTTCCTCACAATTCCTTTCCCTCCATAGACCCCATCAAAGACAAAGTGGAATAACCCTCTAAACTGGCACAAGACCCTACTGAGAAACCTCACCACACTTTAAGAGTACACTTAGTAGATCCCGGCATAACCCAGTGAACACCTTAAAATGGATAGGAGCATGCTCCACTTGTCCCTAGCCACTGGACAATGCAAAAGAAGATGATTAATTGATTCCTCATCCCTCTTGCACATGATACACCTGACCATGACTTGCCGCCTTCACCTAATCTTCCTTAAAGTTGTTCACCCAGAGAAGGCCACCCTAGGGGAGCTTTGGTGCACCCAACTGCCTTCCAATGGAAAGAGTCCCCATGAGGGTTTACCATCCTCCGGAAGGTCTACACCTCGAATATCCCTTGATTGGAATCCATCCAAATCCACTTGTCCATCTCTTTGATAGTCACAGTCTAACGATAGAGCAAGGTCAATAGATCACCAACATCCTCCACCTCCCAGTCTTAGAAATGCCTGACGAAACGCACATCCCATGACAAGTTCCCGCTATCAAGCCAATAACAATCGTCAATCGGAATCCGGGAATCAACAACAATCTTGGAAAGACGCACGTTAGCGACCTATCCCCATAGCAAATATCCAGCCAAAAATGAATGTGTCTCCCGCTCTTCAGCCTGATTTGCATATGTTTTGAAAATCTGCCCCAACCTCTCTGGATGAACTTCCAAACACCCATGCCTGCCGGAACCCTCACCTTCAAGGAGCACCAATCACTCATATATTGTCCAAATTTTCACGAAATAACCCTCCATTATAACCTCTGCCTCTCCACTGCAAACCTCCACGGCCACTTGCTTAATAAGGCTTTGTTGAACATATCTAACCTCCTAATGCCCTAGTGTAACGGGTGGGCCCTTGCCTATTTACCCAAAAGCATAACCTATTAGGTGGGGCTTACATCCGGTCCATATGTATCCAATCACTCTCCCATCCGGATCCGATATGGGACAAGCTCCCCATGTAACATTCTCCCCCATCTGAATTCGCAACGCCCTCATAGCGGTTGGGCCACCTTACCTACCCGGGTAGCACACCCGGACCTTTCAGACCGGCGCTTGGCGTGACACCGGATCAAGGACTGGGCCTGGCTCTGATACCAACTGTAATGGGTAGGCGCTTGCCCATTTACCCAAAAGCCTAAGCTATTAGGTGGGGCTAACACCCAACCCATATATACCCAATCACTCTCCCATTCGGATCCGATGTGGGACAAGTTCATTTAAATTCCTCTCCTACGCCTTCCTGTAAATTGTTCTACTGTAGCCTCTCAATCCTTCTCACCGCTGAAGAGGGCATTATCTGTTCCCATTCCTAGCTCCTTGTAGCGTTAGTAGATTAAAATTAGGTGACTTCTCCAACTTTAAGATGAAATAATAGGTCATAGATAGACCAAGCTTGGAAAAAGAGAATGTATGGTTGTTACAGATTAAATTTTAGAATTAATCGTATCACCTTGCTTCATAGTTCTCTGACGACTTGGTTGAGTCGTAAAGGACTTGTCCGAGTCCAATACTCGCTGAATTGGAATCAAATGAGACTAGGCTGAGTCCCTAGGGAATCGGCTGAATTCCTAGTGAATCAGTTGATTAACTTTTGAGTCCCTAAGGATTTAGCCGATTTTGGCACATCTGATAGTGTGCAAGGTCCATAAACTTTCAAAGTCACGATTACCAATTCCGTTATGTTATGCTTAAAGTTGAAACGGCCTTGCGTTGGCGTCAGTGTCTTCGAATAATGGCTTGTCTATATCGTGTACTATCCATATACCATATCCATGTCCATGTTGTAGTGCTTAAGTTGGGTTCACGTTCTATATAGAGTGGAAGCATATGCAATGGGACTGGCTGCAATTGTCGAAGCTTGGTAGACTTGAGTTTTTTTTCTTTTTTATTATTTTTTTTTATAGTTCCAAAGTTATTTATTTTTAAGGAGAGACTGGCAAGGGCTCGGGTTAATTTAGTAACTATTTCTTGATAGTTCATAGTAATTTTTTCATCATAGTATAATTTTTTCATCATAGTAAATATATTTCAATGGATAACTTTGTTGGAGGTTAAAACATTTTAAGTCTGCCTGATTGTATGCTGCAAACCCCTTTACCTGCTTATCCTCCTCAAACCCCATTTGTTTGATGTGATAGATTTTTTAGCATTTTGTTTGGTAAAAACAATGGGTTTTACTGGTAGTGAAAATTACATTACCAGCTTTCCCCTTTACCCAAAAAATTACCAAATAAACAACAAAGCTTGTTAGTTGTTACACATTGTTTGAGGGGTTGATATGTGAACCTCATATATATTCTGAATATGCAGTGACTGAAGACTTTTCCTGTCCATTCTGCTTGGTAAAATATGCTAGCTTTAAGGTAAACTGGATTGATTTCTATACATATTTTTGTTTTTAATCAAATGAAAAATAACTGTCAGTATGTAGATCTTATTGGTTGATTATATGAACTACTTAATTTGTTGTAGGGTCTGAGACATCACTTGTCTTCATCACATGATCTTTTCAACTTTGAGTATTGGGTTGGTAAACTTCAGGAATCTGTGATGACATTTGGTCGTTTAGTTCTTTTGAACAATAGGCATTAACCATGTTGATGATGTGCAGGTAAATGAAGAGTATCAGGCCGTGAATGTGTCTGTTAAAACTGATATGTGTAGATCTGAGGTCAGAACACTATTTCCACCAAATGAAAACTTCCTATGGAGAATTAACGGCATTATGTTCACATTGAAAACTGCTTCCATGGTGATAAATAAATGCATGTTCATACATACATACACACATTTGTATAAATATATACACACATAAATGGATTTTAAATTATGTTAAATGCTCCTACCTGTGAAAGTTACATGATTTCTTGGCTAAGAAAACAAATTGCAGTCATCCGGCTATAAAGAAACTCGCTTCGGACTTTTTTGTTCACTTTCCTCCTATTTTCCGACCTAAGAAACCTCAAAGGGGTGGAGATTTTAGCCGAATCATGTGTCATCAATGCGGCACGTTTCAGTAGGGCCCAATTTGTATGACAAGAATTGCGGATTGGGCATGCCTAGTGTTGTTTCCATTTTTATCACCAATAAAAGAACAGTTGATTCTAAGGATCATTCAAATCAAACTGTTGGGAAATTTGGAAATGTCCTGGAATCAATATTCAACCAATTTCATCGTATATGTGAACCATGAGAAAATGTTTTTTTTTTTTGTGGCAATTAGGCTGTTCAATGATCAATCTAATTTTGACTCAGGTAGCACTAAAAGATAATTATATACTTTCAGATTATGTAAATATAGTATTTTTCTTAGTGCTATTGTCGTGTATGCTATAGTAGAAATATATAAAAAGAAAAGAAAGGAGAGAATTGCGTAAAGGCTTGAATGATATGAATTACTCATTCATAGCTCTAGTATATATACATAAAATGAGCACATGCTCATATTACAAGAAATGAAGCTAAATCAAATCACAACTTATTCTAAAGCATATTCTATGGCATATTCTATAGCATAGTCAAATCTCTGCTATTATGGTAAGTCATACCATAAATCGTGGTATCATATATGCTAACATATGCATAGTCAAATCTCTGCTATTATGGTAAGTCATAACATAAATCGTGCTATCATATATGCTAACACTCCCCCTCAAGTTGGTGCGTGGATATCTGAAATGCCCAACTTGGACAATGCATTCTCAAACACAATCTTGCTGACGCCCTTTGTAAGAATGTCTGCAAGCTGCTGAGAGCTTGTGACAAATGGAGTGCAAATTTGACCAGAGATGATCTTCTCTCGAATGAAGTGACGGTCCACCTCTATATGCTTAGTCATGTCATGCTGAACGGGATTTGCTGCTATGCTAATGGCAGACTTGTTGTCGCAGTAGAGTGAGAATGGAAGCGACACTGGAGGGCAGAAGTCTGTCATTAAGGTTTTCAGCCAAGCAACTCACTTACCCCAAGAGCCATAGCCCTATACTCTGCCTCTGCACTAGATCGAGAGACAACATCCTGCTTCTTACTGCGCCAAGTAACCAAGTTAACACCAATAGTGGTACAATAACCTGAAGTAGTCCTCCTATCTGAAATTGATCCTGCATAATCAGCATCTGTCCAAGCCTCAACACATGATTGGCAAACAAAATACCACGGCCTGGACACCCTTTTAAGTAGTGAAGGATCCGAATAGCTGCATCAAGGTGAGGGGCACGAGGAGAGTGCATGAATTGACTCACGACACTCATGGCATAAGCAATGTCAGGTCGAGTCATGAATAAATAGATGAGTTTCCCCACAAGTCGTTGATACTGACCAATATCTGACAACAACTCCCCCTCAGAATCAGCCAACCGATGATTCTGCTTAATCGGAGTATCAGCAAGACGAGTGCCAAGTTGATCAGAAGCAGAAAGCAAGTCAAGAACATACTTGCGTTGAGAGATAAAAATGCCAGTCTTGGAGCGAGCCACCTCAATGCCCAAGAAGTACCATAGGGGACCAAGATCTTTAATCTCAAACTGACGGCCAAGATAGCTCTTAACCTCATCAATTCCGGTAGTATCATCGCCGGTAAGAACAATATCATTGACATACACAATGAGAGCAACTGTCTTACCGCCTGAATGACGTAAAAACAAAGTATGATTAGCTGCACTTTGATGGAAACCAAACTTGAGCATAGCAGTGCCAAAGCGATCAGATCAAGCTCGAGGAGACTGCTTGAGGCCATACAGAGAACAACGAAGACGACATACCATACCAGAATGAGTAGGAGAACGAAAGCCCGGAGGAGGAACCATGTACACCTCCTCCTGCAAATCACCATTGAGAAAGACATTCTTGACATCTAACTGAAATAGAGGCCAAGATCGAATGGCAGCAACGGAAAATAATACACGGATGGTATTCATCTTGGCAACAGGGGCAAAAGTCTCCTGATAATCTATGCCATAAGCCTGAGCATAACCCTTGGCAACCAATCGGGCTTTGTAACGAGCAACTAACCCATCTGGATTATGCTTAACTGTTAACACCCAACGATAACCCACAGCCTTTCGTCCAATAAGAAGCGGAACCATGTCCCATGTCTGATTTTTCTCAAGTGCTTGTAGTTCTTCTGTCATAACATCACGCCATTGAGGTTGTGCTAGTGCATCTGCAACACTAGAAGGAACATGAACCGAGGCAACAGAAACAAGAAAACTCCGATAGGAGGGTGAGAGAGCATAATCAGAAACAAAAGTAAAAATAGGGTAAGTACAAGAACGTTTACCCTTTCGAAGAGCAATGGGGTGATCATTAAGCGAAACAATAGCTTGAGATGGCGGAGCTGGTGCCGAAGGAACAGGGCAGTTGATCGTGGGAGTAGAAGCTTGTACCTGTTGTCTCCGACTATAAACCTGTGAAAAAGGAACAATTCCCCTGCTGGAGGGGTATCACAAGGAGGAATCATAGAAGAAGAAACAGGTAATGGTAGAAGAGTTGAAGACGGAAGAAGGTGATCATCCATTATATTCAATGGGAACCATTCACTCTAAGAACCAACTGAACCATTATAGTATGGTGTATGTTCAAAGAAAGAAACATCCATGGATATAAACCGCCGACGACTGGGAGGATGGTAGCACCTATAACCTTTTTGAGAGTGAGAATAGCCCAAAAACACACACTTCAAAGCCTTGGGGTCATTGTACGAGTCTGCCCCAACTGCTGAACAAAGCACACACACCCGAAGACTTGGGAGGAATCAAAATATAACAGAATGTGTAGAGGATCGAAGCTGTTGTTTCTGTTGTGGTGGACGTCCGTCCATGTAGAGCATAACAACGAGATTTGATGTGACCAATTTTTCCGCAATGGTCACACCGTCCACGTCGTCGTCCCAGAGGAGGACCGGTGGTAGTGCTCTGAATTGACTGGGATGGTGAAGTTCCAGAAAGGTTGGGAACCCGAACTGCCATAGCAGAATGATCAACAGAAGCAACACCTAATGGATGAGTCCGGTGGCTCTCATCTGACAACACATAGGAGTATGCATCCTCAAGAGTAGGGAATGAAGATAAGCCCAATAAATGAACATGAGCATACGCAAACTCGTCGTTTAACCCGGCAAGAAACTGACACACTCGATTCTTCTCCACAATTCCTGCATATAAAACTGCATCATCTGGATCCTTCCAAGAGTGGAAGGAATCATAATATGACATCTCCTCCCAAATAGCACAAAGCTTGGCGATGTAACCTGAAACTGTCAAGTCATCCTTAGAAATCCTGGTGATATCTCGCCCCAGCTGGAAAATTCGTGCATTATTCTGCCTCTGAGAATAAGTGCGTTGAACTGAACCCCAAAGCTGCTTAGCAGTCTTCATAAACATATAGCCAACAACTATGTTTGGTTGCATCGAATTGACTAGCCAAGACGTAACCATAGCGTTATCTGCAAACCATTGTGGATATGCCTTCTCTGACTCAGCTGGCTCTTTCTCAGAACCAGTAATATAGCCAATCTTGCCTTTGCCACTAATGAACATCTTGGCAAACTGTGCCCAAATCAAATAGTTGGAACCATCCAACTTCACTGTGGTGATTTGAAGTCCTGGATTTTCTGATGAGTTGGTGGGAAAAATGGCACCACCACCCACAGAACGTGAGTCAAGAGAATTAACAGTTGAGGACCCTGAATCTGCCATAATCTGTCACACGACAATAAAAAAAAAACTCCAAAAACACCACAAAATCTGTTAATAAATCAAAGGGTCTCCTTAGACCATAAACAATAACATTATCTCCTCGGACCATTCCCAAAAAATCCAAATACATACCTTTTTTAAGGAGCGCTGCCCACTTACATATAGCCAGACAGCCTCTTTCTTAATATCCGGAACCTCTTTGTAGACTAATTTTTTTTTACCCAAGCCCTTCTAGGTGTTGGAAACCAACTATCCTAATTTACCCAACCCTAGAAGAGTGAAAAAGAAATTGTAAAACTTAAAAATACCTGTTTTCGATCACAAAACAACAACATAGAAAAACATGTGTAGACAACGTCACACGATGTCACAAACAGCTTAAGGTAGCTGTCGCACAAGTAGCAAGGTTGCTGAAAGGTGTGGAAAGGTGTTGGCTCTGATACCAAGTAGAAATATATAAAAAGAAAAGAAAGGAGAGAATTGCGTAAAGGCTTGAATGATATGAATTATTCATTCACAGCTCTAGTATTAATAGATAAAATGAGCACATGCTCATATTACAAGAAAGGAAACTAAATCAAATCACAACTTATTCTAAAGCATATTCTATGGCATTTTCTATAGCATAGTCAAATTTCTGCTATTATGGTAAGTCATACCATAAATCGTGGTACCATATATGCTAACATATGCATAGTCAAATCTCTGCTATTATGGTAAGTCATACCATAAATTGTGATATCATATATGCTAACAGCTATGAATTTGAGACTGGCACAGATTTGAACGGAGTAGGTTAGATTATGAAATTGATTTAGATTCTTTGCTTTGGATTTAAGTGTACTCAGGCCAAATTCAAATGTAACGACAGCACTTTGTGCAAATATTGCCAAATGTTATGTCTGTATCCAATCTGCCCCTCTCGGTACTGTCGGTTAACAGGAACCACACTAAACCAGGTAATGACTTAGCAATGAGTAAATTAAGTAGCAGAGATATGAGATTTCCGTTCCCAGCATTATTCGTGCAAACCAAATGCGACCTAAATGTCTCTCTCGCTCCTCTAGTTATTCTGCTAATCGACCATTCCCTATAAGATGTCACTCCAGCAGTTAACCACTATTCCTCCAGATATATATTAGATGCTGTGGGTGGCTGGTCCTAATTCCCTTTAGTGATCATCTTAAACACCTACTCTGATGATGGAAAAATTTTCATTGTTTTTACTGCTTAGCTGATACGTGTATAATTGTTGCTACGTATATTTACATGTGCAAGGTGCAACCAGACTATACAAAATTTTTTAGTGGTATAAGCTGGACTCGCATTTTTTATATGTTATTGATTTTCTTTTTTCTTATGATCTGGTTAGATTGTTGCAGATGGTATTGATCCCAAGCAACAAACATTTTCTCTTTGGTAAGTCATTCTTTTGCCTCTTTTGAAGTAATTATTTTTTATGTTTTATGAATATTGAGTTCCCGCTGAAATTGGTGAACACAATTTATGTATAGTTCAAAGCCACTAAGACGAAGAAAAAATAGGAATGTTGTTCAAAATGAAGAGCACGTGCGTCCACTTATCTTGGATTCAAACTTCCCTGCAGCGACCAATGATCTTCAAGACAAGCCTGATGGTACAGTTTCTCATGCTCTTTCAAGATTTTATTGGCTGCCAACTCCTCTATCAATTCTTTCAACCGTTTTACTGAATGCTTATCTCTCATTGACTTGATTTGGAAGCTGAAATGATGTGAAAAGCTTTTCTTTGCTGTACTTTTGGACACATCTAGACAGCCTGGGTAATTTTAATTTTTTTTATTTTTCTTTAGAGCTCATGTTGATGGGAATTGACTAAGACAGTACAACAAAAATTGATTATAGTCACACACAGATTTTTAACATGGAAAAACCTCCTTTCGGTGAGTAAAAAAACTACGGGACCTAGTCCGGCAAATCAATCCACTATGAAGAAATAGATATCCGACCTAAGTCACATTTCAGTACCCTCAAACCCTTGGTTGATCCCTAGACACAAGACACTGAATCTTTGGTGCTTTGAAGATCTCTAGGTGGTTCTTCTGATCCTTGTCTCTTCACTGATTGATCTTCAGCCACTAGTAGTCCCGAACGAGAATCTAATTGATTGCTCTAAACAGTGTTGACGTTGACTTTTGTAGCACAAGAACAATAGTATAAATACTCAATACTCATCAAATTACATAACTAACGTGGATGATGTGTGATGAAAATCAAAATAAAACTGCATTCTTCTTTTTCTTCAAACTCACAAGAAAACACTCATATGATTGTGTATCTAAAGAACATGATGTTTAATCTTGTGGAAAAAGAAACAATGTCATGCAAATTAAAGCTCTCAATCAATAAAAGGTTTTTCAAAGGTGTCTCTTAGGGTTTTCAGAACATTAGTATTTATACACGCCGCCTTTTTTTTTTTTTTTGATAAGTAAGAATTAAATAAAAAGGCGTTCAAAAGGGGAACGCGTCCCTTATACATAAGTGGAACCGGGGCTAAGGCCCCAAAGAATCCAAAAAAAAAATGATTAAATCATCGGAAGAGGAACAAGAACTCCTCTTCACATAACTGAAGAGAGAGCAGATAATATAAAGTTTTAGCGTCGCCGTAGACGACTCCTTTCCTTCGAACATTCTGCTATTCCTCTCCTTTCAGATGCACCATCAAACGCAATGTGGGACAATTCTACAGTAATCGCGTACACCACTTCTCACATGACATCCTCTCCAAGCATGAATCAAATCCTTAGAAGAATGTGGCATTACCCAACGCATGCCAAACAAACCAAGAATAAGATTCCAATAATCGTACGCCACAGGACAATGCATGAGGATATGATCAACTGACTCACCATCTTGCTTGCATAGACAACACCAATTAACAAAACAGTTACCCCTCTTCCTCAAATTATCAATCGTTAGGATCTTACCCCATACAACGGTCCATACAAAGAATGCCATCCTAGTTGGAGCCATAGAACGCCAAATGGTCTTCCACGGAAAGTCAAGGCTAACAAAATTAGATAGACATAAGAACAAAGATCGCACTTCGAAATGGCCGTGGGACGGGGAATCCATATTAGGTCGTCACTACCTCTACCAACTGCCTCCTGCCGATACAACAAATCCAAAAGAACACATACCTCGTCTAACTCCCAATCCCGAAAGGAATGCCTAAAGTGCACATCCCACGTAATCCCACTACTATCAAGCCGATAACAGTCGGCTACGTAGGCGTGTCTATCAACTGCAATACTGTATAATCTGGGAATTGTAAGAGATAATGGCTGGTCACCACACCAAATATCCTTCTAGAAACGAACGCATCTGCCATCACGAACTTTGAATCTGATGTGAGAAGAGAAGACATCCTAGAAGAGAAGACATCCCATTTCTTGGAAAAGAGTCCAAAATATTTTTGGTAATAGAAACCTTATAAAACACGTAATTGGAAATTCAGCTTTACAGACTGTCGATTGAATTCTGGGAAGTGTCGATTGATCGATAATACAACGTGCTTTGATCGAACCCTAGTGTTTGCGTTTTCAATCCTATATTAAATAATGTCTTGATCGATCGACACATTATAACACTTAGGTCAACAGTTCATTTTTCAAAGCTTCGATTAATCTACATACACTCAGTCACTCATAATCGATTGATGAGTACAATATTAAAATGCTGCAAACTAATTTTTGAAACGATTATGCATATTTTGGAAAACATATATTAATGCTCAATTAAGTTTATAAAACTTTGAAACTTGATCAAATAAAGATGTATGCATGATCCTAGTATGGTGAAGATGATTTTTGATGTGATTTTAACTTTTTACCCATTGCATTGACGAAGTTGACTGTTGTAGTTGCTTCTCTTCATCAAACATAGACTAATCTCACCTGACCATCATTCTAAACAACTCACATATTTTGAACATAAGCTAAAATTACATTGAATGAGTTTTGTAGTATGAAATTTGCCAATCTAGTCTATGAACCTAACACATGTACAGAATATCCCTGTGGATAATTCCTTGAGTTATTTAATGCTCCTCGCAGTAGAATTTGGCTGATCCTGGAAGAAACTATGCTTTTGAACTTCTTTAGGTTTACTCTTCATATCCTTGAAGTTTGCAGAATAATGTTTGCTGAAACTTTTGATCCTTTTTTTTTTTTTTTTTTTTGACCTATCCCCAGTTGAATAATGAAAATCAATTGTGATAAATGTAGGTATATTTTCTTATGCTTCTTGTTGTATATATTATTAATTCAGATAATAATTCAAGTGAAGACGATAGGGTCATACTAAGTGCTAATGATTTGCATGATGCTATTCCAGGTGTTGCTGGCTGTGTGGCATGTGATACATCCAGTCTGAATGTCACAGGGATGTCAACTGCTACAGCTCAATCATACTTAGATCCTGAATGTCAATCAGTCCCTGGAAGCAACCTTGCACCTCCTGTTATGCTACAATTTGCAAAGACGAGAAAATTATCTGTTGAACGTTCAGACCCTAGAAAGTATGTTATATCAGTCTGTCTACTTCTTACTGTAGTTCTCTTTCGTTAATAAAGGATGTATAATTTAATTTTAGAGCAGTTAAACTAAGTCATTGTCCGAGCAATTCCTAATGGACTTCCTACATCCTGAGTTAGCCCCCAACAGATATCAGCAGTCTAACAGGATGTCTATGGACATGTTAGTAGATATCCGAGCAATCACACAGACTGTTTGGATCATGGGTCTGGGGACTGTGTAGTTAAACCTGTGGAGCACTCATTAAGAAAGGATGTATAATTTCATTTTATAACAGTTAAACTGTCATAGTCCGAGCAATACCTAACGGACTGCCTACATCATGAATTAGGCCCCAACAGTTATAAGCAGTGTGTCAGGATGTCTAAGGACGTGTTTGTAGATATCCGGGCAATCACACAGACTGTTTGGATCGGGGGTCTGGGGGCTGTGTAGTTAAACCTGTGGAGCACTCATTAAGAAATGATGTATAATTTCATTTTAGAACAGTTAAACTAAGTCATAGTCCAAGCAATACCTAACGGACTTCCTACATCATGAATTAGGCCCCAACAGTTATCAACAGTCTGCCAGGATATCTAAGGACATGTTAGTAGCTATCCGAGCAATCACACAAACTGTTTGGATCATGGGTCTGGGGGCTGTGTAGTTAAACCTGTGGAGCACTCGTGTGGACCAGCTGCCACATGTCAAGACCTGCAACCTTCTAGATTGGATGATTTTAATCATTCTGACTTTCGAACTTGCTGACCACTCTTTCAACTGATGTACCTTGAACACATTTCTGCAGTAAGTGGAAACAAAATGGTTGTGTTATACAGCAATTAATTAACATCCATTTCCTTTGGCTGTCATTTCTTCATATGGCAATAATATATGTGTACAAACTTTTTGTTTTTGTTTTTTTCTTCTTTTATTTAATTTTTTTGGCAGAGCAGTTTTGACCCATCTTGTCAACTTGTCAAGCCATGTTCTTTCAGGGTCTTCCCCCACCCCCCGCACATGAGTCATATATTTGATTGCATGAGTTTGAATGTAATCTATTTAGGGAGAAAAAAAAAAAGAAAAAAAAAGAAAGTAATCTGGATTTGTTTATCCTTTCAGCCGTGCTCTACTACAGAAACGACGGTTCTTTCATTCGCACAGGGCTCAGGTGATGAGTCATTCTTCCATCTGATCTGTGGTTCTTTTCCTGTGTATTTATTGTGATCACTGCAGCTTTTCTGAGTCACGTGTCTTAATTTTGTATCTATTTTCTGTAAGTATAAGTTTGACAAGCTCAGAATTTGGTATAAAGGTTTAAATATTCAACACACGTGAAAGGGTTGTAGCTTTTCCCTCTGGGGACAACGACAAAGAAAAGGCTTAAGAAAGATATATGATCAAGAGACTAAGTATGCATTTCTTCGTGACTTCATCCTTCTAGAATTTATTTGGGTTTTGGAATTTGAAGTATGTTAGACAAATAATATTTCTTAGCAGTAATTTAAACCTGTTTGGTTCAGTTCTCTAAAAGTACTTCTCTATTCTCAGACGATAGAAAAATATAAATCCGTTAAAGTTCATTGGTTTATAGTTTTTAGAAAAATATAAATAAAGATCGTTTTTCAGATAACTCTTTTTTTAGTTCTCTGAAACTACTGTTTGTTTTTAGAGTTATTGAGAAGCGTTTTTGGAGAACTGAATCAAACATGCTCTTTAGAGTTTCAGTTACTTTGTAAGGAAAGCATGGTCAATAAAATTGTTGCCAATCCATGAGGGCATATGTCATCCAATAGTCAAGCTGGTCTCGCTCTCTCTCTCTCATATGTCATCGAAGTGTGTTGAATTTTGGTATAAGGTTACCTCAACAGCACTTGACTCCTGGCCACCAGACCACATGCCCTTTAGAATCCCAAAGAAATGTACCATATCCACATATCTCGATGTGGTCTATGACTAGTCAAACCTCGTACCAAAGGAATCGTGCTATGTTCATGTATTTTGAGATGCATTAGGAGAAAGCAATTGTGCATCTAGTGGTATGCCCCCTCAAGTTCTGCTACCAACTTGGGCAATGTGCAAAATACATCAGATTTTGTTTTCTTTATTATTCAATATCTCCGAGATTGGATTTTGGGGCTCAAAGTTATAGAAGGTCCTCGCAATTATGGATTTCAATATCGAGGATAGTTTATAAGAGGGAAGTCCTCATAGGATGTGTGATGTGGCCCGAATTTGGTGCTGGGTCGCAACTACGACCCAACGACCAGTTTAATGAGTTTTGTGTGGGCCCTTTTTAGTACTTTCTTGTAACTTGATATATAAGGGTGCTTAGGGTTTGGAGTGGTAAGATTGAGGGACACAGAAAAGAGAGAGAGAGGAGAGCTAGGGTTTGGGGGCTGAAACTTGTAATCTCTAGATTTTCGCATAGTGAATTCTTTCGTCGGATCTTCATTGTGGATGTAGGCTTGCCGAACCATGCTAAATCTTTGTGTTCTTTGTGTGTGGCTTGTTTATTTTTTGTCGTGTTTCTTGGTTTTTTCTTGGGTTCGCTGCATTTTGTCGTAATAGTATGTACTTGGGGCCCCAAAGGAGAGTGAAAACGAGCTGTCTGCTGCCAGATCTATAGAGTGGAGTGTTACTCCTTCGAGGTGAGACCCTTGAGAAATGAGCATTAAGACCTTAAAGAACCATCATACCTCAGGAGAAACTTAGTTAATGACAACATACACATTAATCTTAATTTTAGGACAATAAAGTATGCTCTTTCCATGGTGAGCTATTTCATTGTCACATGGAAATTAGTATGCATTTATAAACAACAAACATGATTCAAATGGTCCTTTTCACTCTGATGCTTTTAACTAAAGCTCAAAATGACATTAAAGTAACCACGGCAAAGGAACCCAAAAAGATGGTAGTTCTTCTGTCATTACTATCATGAATGTGCTAGGGGCATTTCAGAGACCAAAAGGCATCATGAGCCATTCGCAAAATCCATCCCGCATCTCAAATGTTGTTTTCTTATCATCACTACCTCGAAACCTTATTTGATCTTGATGATAGCATGTCTTTGTGACCACGGTTGATCTCATAAGCATGTCTAGCTTTATTGCTAATCTTGGAATTGGAGAGTGATCCTTTATAGTTTTGTGGTTGATTGACGGTTAAACACACATTTCTAAAGAACCATCCTTCTTAGAAGTTAGTAATGTAGGCACAACGTACGAACTTTTACTTATAGTGTAGTCCCTTTGCAATTAGGTATTTTGCTTGCCTTCTCATTTCAAATTGGTGCGCTGGTGGGATTTAATATGCTGCTGGTTTCGTAATGCTGCCCCTGGAACCAAATCTATGGCATGTTGAATGTTGCACAGTCCCTCTATTATTCTTCACTAGCAAGTTTTTGAAATCATCCAGCAACTTCTTAATTGCGGGTGGATGAGAAGCTTTGTCTGCATCTTGACTATCAGTAGGATTAACAATCAGCTACGTGCATTACTTAAACTGATTAGCTGTAGGGAAGTTATTTACTTTGGCATTTTTAGGGTTGTCTGCCACTTCCTCTTTCATAGGTTGTACGATTAGATCCTTTCCGTCCTTGTGGAAGGCTTAAGCAAGTGGAGTTGTAAGGTGGAGCATATCATGATCATACAACCACATCCTCCCAACAATATCTAGTATGCATCCTTCATTTTGACATCCTATAAGGCGACTTCTTTATTGGCATCACCTGTAGAAAATGGAATTAAGGTTCTGGAGAGTAACGAGAACTTCATTACTTTTATAAAAAAAAAGCTACCTTATAAGGATGAGGATGTCGTTGCCAGTTTTTATTTGTCCATGACTTCCTTTGCTGTTGTTATGACAAACAGCCGTGAACCAAGAAACAATCGTGAAACAAGACAAAAACAAGCACCACACAAGATAAAGAGCTTAATATGACAGCAACTATAGAAAGTCTAAGGCTGGAAGATTTTCTGTTTATACAGCTAATATTAGCTGTCACAAGTAACATCTTCCAACACATGTTGCCTTGTTCTTAAAAATGAAAAAATGTAGCAATCCCTAATAAAGATTTGCTATAGGCAAACAATGTTTTATCTGTGTTTCCTTATATACTTCCGTTGTGTGATTAGTGGATCCTTTAATACTGTTCCAAGGAAGAATATTAAGAATCAAATGCTTTCGAGGAAATTGGAATGATAATGAAAGCCATAATTGTCCATTTTTATGTTAAATTCCGTTCTTGTGCATTTTTTTGTTTTTTCTTTTGCCATTGTTAATGTTGCTTGTTTGATGTTTCGGGCGAGTCACATTTATTCATAGACAGTTATGGGAATAGAATATTCTTTTTAGACTTTATTTTTTTTTGTTTTTTTTTTAACATTATTATGGAACCCATGCATCGACATATCTGAGAAGGTAGAATTTCTTGTAATTCTAGTCAATGGCATTGGAGCAAGTGTTGTCAGATCGGGATAGTGAGGATGAAGTTGATGATGATGTTGCCGATTTTGAAGATCGAAGGGTATGTTTGGTAAATTATTTGATCTTTATTTCACTGTATTTGTTATAATTTTGGTATTAGTGTGTGTATATGCAAGCATGCTGTTGAGTGGGTCTATGTGTGCATGTGGTTCCCTTGTTCCAATTTGGGAATTTTGTTGCAACAACAATCCCATTCTGCATGTTAATGAGTAGCTGAGGCATGTAATTTTAAAGATTTGTGCAAACAGAAGAGAAGAAGATGTTGTGTTATTCAATTGTATATTAAAGCATATTGAATTATAAAATAATAAAGAAATAACAACTCTCTAACAAAGCTACTCCTAACCATCTAATGAGTGATTAGATGGTTACCTTTAAGAAGCATAATTTTTGAGGTTTTTTGTCCTATATCTTGAATTTTTTTAAAGAAGAAAAAATAAGAAAACTCAGAGGGGGGTGGGGGTGGTGGTGGTGGTGGTTGTTTTTTGTTTTATTTATTTATTTTTAAATTTTTTCTTTTTATTTTTAAATTAAGATTTCATTGTACTCGAAAGGAGAGTGCATGCCTAATACAAAAGAAAAACCCAAAGCTATACCCCCAAGCTATCCACAAAGGACATTCAAAGCTTTAAGGATTTACAAATTTTCCCATGTACCCACAAAAATAAATAACTTAAAAGTACAAAATCACCCCTATTGGGGACTCTACCCCATCAAAGACCTCCTATTTCGTTCCTTCCACAAGGCCCACCATAAACACGAGGGGGTGACTCGCCATGCATCTCTACCTTGGGATCCCACTAAGCATCTGCTCCAATTCTCTATCAAACTTTTTGCAGAAGCTGACATGACTCGCTATATCCCGAAGATAATGCATGACATGGCTTAATCTTCTCTATCCACAGAGCAAGTGGAGCTTTTCAATTCTGTATTTCTCTTCATTGTAGTGTGAGTGGTTGTCCTTACTTCATTATCCTTGCACCTCGTTGCTAGATTTTTCTTTTAGGGACAAAAAAATATTTAAAAAAAGTCTTTCAAACTCTAAAGCAATAATATGTCTGGATCCTCTCGCATTCTAGAGTAATTTAAAGTATCTGCATTAGTTTGCACTGAATCGTTGATGGCATGTTAAGAGCATGTTGTAGAATCATCTCTAAGTATCATGGTTTTATGCTTCATTTCATAAAACCAACCCAAATTAGATGGGATAAGGCTTCTTGCGATTATGATCTTAAATTTTTTAAAACTTTAGAAGGTAAATCTATTTGAACTGTTGGTGCATAACCTAATTATATTTGATTGGCCTATAAGGAGAACATATTTAAGTTTATGGAGTCTTAGTTGCAATGTGACTGCCTAGTGAGAGTATCACACTTCAGGTTACCTAAGTCTCAAGGTTTTGCATTAAAGTGGTCTTGCTTGGCCTCAGCTTGAGGGATGACTGTAGAAGCCTTTTAAAATGATGTCAATGATTGAGCAGTGTGTGTTAATCCCCCCTTGCTACTGCCTCTATAACAAGATATGCCAATCTAATTCTTACTCAACAAAGTAGTCCACATTGATACACTCATATATGTTGCAGATGCTTGATGATTTTGTGGATGTGACCAAAGATGAGAAGCAAATGATGCATCTCTGGAACTCATTTGTGAGGAAGCAACGGTAATATTTTTTTCTCCTGTTCGTTTTGAATTGTTTTAGTTATGTCCTTCCATTGAGAGTCTCTTTCTCTCAACACACACAAAGGCACAAGCAACAAAAAACATCATATAGCCTTTCGAATTTAAAACTGTATGGGATATATTGATCCCTTCTATTTTTCTACGCTAGTAATTGAAATTTTTAGATTTTCTCCAACATGGCATTGTTTTTTAGTAGGTTTTTTATTGGTGAATTCTGATTTTGCCTATTGACCAGGATATGCAATCAGTCTGTTTTACCGAGTGTGCTGTAAATTTTGATATGTTCATTCCGATGCATAGACTTCATTTCTAGTTCACTGAAGGCCTGATTTGTTGTGAATCTTAGTCCTCCATTCTAAAAATATATTTTATTTTATTTTTCTATTTATTTATTTTTAAATTTATTACTCTCTTTTTTTTTTTTTTTTTGGGGGGGGGGGGTTTCATAATGGCAGGGTGTTGGCAGATGGTCATATTTCTTGGGCATGTGAGGCATTTTCGAAATTCCATGGTCAAGACCTTGCCCGGGCACCAGCCTTGCTTTGGTAACTTCTCTCCTCATCTGTTTTTAAGTTGCGCCATTGCATGCTCCAATCCGTATGTCCAGATGTTCACTAATGTCATATTAATCATTTCGTACGTGTGAGACTTGAAAATTGACTCATGTCTGTGCTCTAAACTTTCAAGTTTAGATGGGTATAACGTGCCAATCTCATCATTATATGTTATTTCTGCATCTGCTACTGGTTTGGATGCATGATGTAGAACAGCACGCTCACGATTATCTAAGCATACAGGATCATCGCAAATCAGGGAGGCTAAAAAGGTAAGGAGAATAGAAGGAAATAAATAAATAAGGAAAAGTCAAAAGAATCATCGCAAATCAGGGAAGCTGAAAAGGTAAGGAGAATAGAAGGAAATAAATAAGGAAAAGTCAAAAGGAGATTTGGTGTAGTTGTTAGCAATAGAAGATATTATTCTCCATTGTAAGATTTACGGAGGATTCTACTCTATCAAATCTCAGATTTCCCCTTTAATATTATTTCACGCATGCTTTCTTTTTTAATTTTATTTTTGACTTGCCTATATAAAGGCAAGAGATGTAAGTCTACAAACATCATCATTATCAATATAATTTCAGTTTCTCTCTTGTGAGTGTGTTCTTTGTTAGTTCAAGGGCTTAACCTTGTTTTTTATCGAAATATGATATTTGATGGAGTAGAATCCTTCTTAAATCTTGCAATGGAGAATAATATCTTCTATTGCTAGTAACTACACCAAATCTCCTTTTGACTTTTCCTTATTTATTTATTTATTTCTTTTTATTCTCCTTACCTTTTCAGCCTTCCTGATTTGCGATGATTCTTTTGACTTTTCCTTACTTATTTATTTCCTTCTATTCTTTTTACCTTTTCAGCCTCCTTGATTTGCGATGATCCTGTATACTCAGATAATCGTGAGCGAGCTGTTCTACATCAACGCATTTCTATATGTGCATCATATGTGTTGATGTTAAACAAAAAGGAAATAAAGAACTTGTTGGAAGGTTTGTTGGATCATGTGTCGGCAAGTCGTCCAAAAACCAATTTAAAGTGCCCGTGGATTGGAAATTTCCATAATTTAATTCCAAGCTTTCATGAAATTTGATTAAACACTGTTTGGGCTGTGATTTTTCTTTTTATGGTGCCCAGCAAACCGAAGGCAGGACTATAATTAAACAACAATTTTACTTTATGAGACTAGTTTTAGTGTGTTTCTCAATTTCATCATAGTGATTTATTTGAGGTGAAGAGATCTTCAGTTGAGGTGGAGCTATGATGAGATCATTGTTCGAGGTGGAGCTATACAGGAGCATGTGAAAATCGAATTCATGCCAAGGTTGAGATTGTTGAGTTTTGTGACTCGAATTCGATGTGCGGGCGATGTTTTGGCAGAAGTGATTATGGTGGAACCAATTCAATTTTTTCTTGAACCAATTGGACATGCAACCCCAATTGAACCAGTTTAAGAAAAGTTGAACCAGTTGGATGTGCAAGCCAGAAAATTACTATTTAAGAGTTGAAGACTGATATGGTAACTCCTTGTAGGCAAGTTGGGGAATACTTATCCAACAAGGAATTGGGTTTGAAGACTCTATAAATAGAGATGGGTTTGGGTAGAGAGAGAGGAGAGAAAAGATGTAAGGAGTTTAAGGATGAGTGTTGTGAGGATAGGGGAGAGTATATGTAATTCCCGCATGTATAGATGTAGCCTCAAAAGAGATGATGAGTGAGTGAGTGGGGTTTTGACATCTGGTTGTATATTCTCTTTCTTGATTCATAATATTGGAAATCTCTCTCCCCATCGACGTCGCCTAGAGTTGGGTAAACCATGTAAAATACTGTGTTGTGTGTTAATGTGTATAATTGTTATACCTTTGGTGTGAAGTTTGTCAGAGGATGATAGTGAGGTGCCATGGAGATTTAATCAAAGTTGATGATGACACTAAGGTATGAAGATAGGTGTGCAGACACAAGCCCATAAGGAACAAGTTTTGGGGACAAGCCAGAGAGTGGGTGCTAGTTCTCAAGATGAGACAAGTATGGTGTGAGGAATGAAAGGGTTTGCTCTAAGCCCAATAAAGAGCAATGAAGAGTGAAGAAGAAAGGTTTGTTGCTTTGAGCCATAAAAGCAATTGATGAAGATGAGTTGGTTGATTGGTGGGTTGCCATGCGTGAACAATTGAACATCAATGGGGTGGTGGATAGAGAAGATGGAAGAAGAAGGAGTATGATGGAATATGAGAAAAGGTGGAGATTGTTAGTGTATTTCTCAATTTCATCATAGTGATTTATTTGAGGTATAGAGATCTTCAGTTGAGGTGGAGCTATGAAGAGATCATTGTTCGAGGTGGATCCATGGAGGAGCATGTGAAGATCAAATTCAAGCTAAGGTGGAGATTGTTGAGTTTTGTGGCTCAAATTCGGTGTGCAAGTGATGTTATGGTAGAAGTCATTATGGTGTAATCAGTTCAACTTTTTCTTGAACTAGTTGGACATGCAACCCCAATTGAACCAGTTTAAGAAAAGTTGAACCAGTTGGATGTGCAAGCCAGAAGACTGATATTTTAGTAATTATGCTGATTTATTTAAAATTTTGCCGTTAACTATTGAATTTGAGCAGATATAAATGGAACATCAAATATATGCTCGGTAGGAGCTTATCCAACATACAGTTGAGCAAATCAACAAGCATTACTTACAACATAGCTTCCCTTTTCCCTTATATGGGGTGTGATGGTTGTAATACTAGAAGCACATGTTCTTCAACTTACTTACTCAACTATATTTCTTGAAGCAATACGATTTAACATGGAGACTGTTGGGGCAGCGGAAGCGCATGAAGATGGAAATCCAATGAAAGCTAATAAAGCAATCACATACAAACACAAGATATAACGTGGTTCGGCCAAAATTGGCCTATATCTACAGATGAGAAGAGATTCCACTATATACTTGTTTTTTCACCATGTACTATTCCACGAGCCTATCTTTTTGCTACCAATGCCATCGGTGTTTTTCCTACTCTACCAACCTATTATAAATTACCCTTACCCATCAGTTCCCTCATGAGACTACATCTCTCTCAATCTCAAAAGTCTTAACCCATAATTATATAGAGTTCCAAACCCAATGCCTTGTTAGACAAGAATTACTTGGAGCCCAAGACTTGCCTAACAAGGAACTACATATTAGGCTTGGTTTGTTGGGAGGAACTGTAAATATTTGGGGAGAGAGTTGATTTTTTTGGACATAATGAGAGATTAGGGGCCTATTAGGCTCTTCTTTTGTTTTTGTGGGATGCGTTCCCTGTTTGAATGCTTTCTAATACAATCTTACTTATCAAAAAATAAAAATAAAATAAAATACAACTCTAAAGTAGAAATCTAATTAGACTTGGAATTTGTGACAAAATTCCCAACAATCTCCACCTTGATTCAAATTCCATCAATCCTATCATCGCTTCCCACGACTATGATCAGGAGTCAGGACAATTCTTTTGCAGCCCCAATCATTTGGCACACAAAATGGATCACTCTTTAGGAACTTCCACCCATGGAGCCCTTCCTGCATCCCAACCTAATTTAGGGACTTTTCAGCCCAACCAAGGAGCAAGTTCCTCCTAGTCTGATTCAGGGACTTCCACCCAAGGAGACAATTCCTCCTTACTCTTTTGGATTGAATGCGAGATTCTCTTGCAAAGCTCTAGTTGTCCACATTATACGCTGCTTGTTTAATCAAACCTCGAAGGCTCCACCTTGACTACTCGAGCTTTACGCCATGTAACCCATTACGATTTTATGACCATCGTGATCAACCAAATTGATTAACTCCACCTGCAACTGAAACATGTTGCAACACCTGTTGAGGCTCCTTGTGTTTTTTAGATCTCGCTCACCTTCGGCTCTGATACCAATTTGTTAGGGCAGTGAAAAAGCATGAACATGGGAATCCAATGAAAGCTATCAAAGTTGAAGAGAGAAATAGAAAATGAAGCACACAAGGATACACGCACAAAGCCCAAAGGGCTACATCATCTTTATTATTTTCTCTCGATCTTTCTATACAATGATCACCTTTATTTATAGGTGAAAGAGTATAAGTGATAAATATGGAAAATACATTGATGGAAGATTCCTAAAATTAATACCATAAATCACTTCAATCAAATATTCTATCATAGGATAAACTATCTCCTATGAAATTCTCATATCAAATATTCTATGAAGGAGTAATTTAAGGGTCCTAAAATGTTATTTTCCAACAAAAGCCAACAAAGCAATCACACAGAAATACAAGATATAATGTGGTTCGGTCAAAACCAGCCTACATCCACAGTTAAGCAGAGATTCCAATATGATTTTCGTAGAGATATTACAATGATAGAATACCGACACCATGTACATGTCTTTTCACCACGTACTACTCCATGAGCTACCTTGGCCGATGTTGGTTCCGTCCTTGCTCCTCGCTACCAGTGCCATCGGTATTTTTCATACTACACCAACCCATAAACTACCTCTATCCATCAACTTCCTTTTGAGACTACATCTCTCTCAATCTCATAAGTCTCAACCCATAACCTAGGTATCTATTTATAGAGTTCCATACCCAATTCCTTGTTGGACAAATCATGATGCAAGGCAGACTTAGGGAGGGGAGGATCAATTGTCTGAAACTTGCATCATTTTTTGTTTAGGAAAACCGATTAGAAAAGTTTCAGAAACACAAGATATGCAAAATCTAAAACAATCTCTTATGAATCAAATCATGATTTTACAAAACCCTAGACTATATATATTTATTTATTATCATCAAGAGGTACCCCTGGGCACATGCAACATCCTACAAGCCACGTGAGCCAGCCAAGTCCGAGTATAATACCGTTTGAGTGGCCCTAGGTGTGGGGAAGTTTTGATAATGAGACATCCACTTTTAAAGTAAGGCTCTTGTCTACTCTGCCGCCACCCTTGGGGTTAACCGTAGACTATATATGAATATGAACATTAATTTGTTAGTGTCCCAATAGAAAGTTATAAATACCTTTTTGCTCTTGACTAATAAATCTTTGAATACCAGATCTGCGCTTGGACAAGATGCCACAACTAATATAACTAATTTGACATTCTAATAAGAAAATTTATGGACTCCAAGTTTTGAACACAAACTAACAATATTAACCTAACAATATGAAACTGAACGCTGGCTTTTAATAGTTGTTGTAGTGATGTTATGATAGATGGTAGCTCCTTTAGTATTTACATTTTACTGAATTTTGTGCATGCGTTTAGTGTTTCTTAACATATGACAGGTTGGAAAGGTATGATTTGTTGCGAAACTAGGTTGACATGAACCATTTACAATTTATCCAGTAAAGGATCAAATGAGATACTGTAATATATGATTTTGAGCTTTTTGTACTTGCAGTGCTTTCGCATTTTAATCAAATTAGATATCTAATTGGCTATTCCGAAGTTTAATAATTGAAATTTCTTTCTCTGTACGAACCACCCATCGCCACCTCCACCCCTTTCCCTCCCCCTCTCCACGACCACTCTCCAACTTTCTCTCTCCTCTCCCCTTTCTCTGTTTCTTTGTCCACTGCCACCTCCTCTTTTGGCTAGACAAAACCAAACACAGTTGAACACAAAACAAAACAAACCAAACCTTAAAGCCTAATTTCTAATAATTCAACTCAAGAGCCAACAAAACAAACTGAAATACCAGAGTACTATAACACCAACCTGTAAAGACCTAATTGATCATGATCAAAATGATGAAAGATCATCACAAAACAATTGGGTCTATGTAAAGTACAATTGTGTTCAATTAGATCTATTTTAGGGAGAGAGAGGGACAGAGAGTAGTGACCAAGTGTTTAAATTATAGACCACTCATATATATATATATATATGTACACACACACGTGCTACTTTATAATTTCCCTATGCTTTTTTTTTTTTTTTTTTTCCTAGTTGGGACTCACACACACTGCCTCCACTGAGGTTCGAACCCCTGACCTCCCTTTGGAAAGTAGGAACCTTGTATAGCTAGGCCACAGGCCTGTTGGTCCCTATGCTTTCTTTAACTTAGGTGGTGGGTGGATTGGTGGTGTATAACATGGATCATGAATGTTTATATATATACCCACAAAATTAATACCTGGGTTAAACAGTCACTGGTGGGGAAAGAGAGAGAGAGAGGCCACTTTTGCAAGCATCGACAATTATACATATCTTCCTTGAGACCGTTGAAAAACTACTACGCAGATTCTAAATGAAGATGCAAGAAATATGCTGATTTGGAGATAGAGAGTTTCATCGAGTTTAAAAGAAATAAGAGAATGAAGAAAGTGCACATGCACACACACACGGAGAGATTGATGCGTGTTTGTAGAAAACTGATCTATTCAGTTGAAATACAAATTTAAGGGGAAAAATTATCAAATTGCAAACTATGGTAGCAGAGTTGGACACAAATGTTTGATAGGGGAGGACCGTATAAATTTTCATAAAAGAGGGATGGCTTGTATACTTATGTTTAACCTCAAGAGAGATCAGTGTAATTTATTTAAAAACATTTAAGGGTAAATTGCATAAAACCCGCTAAACTATCAACAGATTGCAACTAACCCCCCTGAACTACAAACTGCCCCTTTAAACTGATAGAAATAGTCTACTAGGCACTTCAGAACGTGGTGTCAAACAACCGTTTAACGGAAAAACAAATTCATAATTTTTTTTTTTTTTTTTTGATAAGTAAACGTGGATAGAAACAAAAAAAACGTTCAAAAGGGGAACGCGTCCCACATACAAAAACAGAACCGAAACCTAAGGACCCAGAAGGTCCAAAAAATCTATGAAATCATCATTAGAAGAACAATAACTTTCCTTCACCCAACTTAAAATGTTGCGAAGAATAAAAAGTTTTAAAGTCGTCGACGATTCCTTTCCTTCAAATAGTCAATTGTTCCGCTCTCTCCAAGTGCACCACCACACACAATGCGGGACTGTCCTCCAAGAGTCTCGAGCAAGATCCCCCACATAGCATCCCCTCCACACGCATTAATCAGGCCTCTTGAAGACTGTGGCATTACCCAATAAATACCGAAAAACCCAAAGATCATGTTCCAACAGTCAGACACCATAGGGCAGTGCATAAGGAGATGATCCACAGACTCACCATCATTTTTGCATAGGCAACACCAGTTAACAATAATATTGCATCTCCTCCTCAAATTGTCTAGCGTCAAAATCTTACCCCAAACGGCTGTCCATACAAAGAATGCCACTCCAAGGGGAGCCTTAGAGCGCCATACTGTCTTCCAAGGGAAATCAGAACTAGCAAAGTTGGAGAGGCCCAAGAACATGGACTGGACATCGAATCTACCATGGGAAGATGGAATCCACAAGAGTACATCATGACCTCGGCTAACTGCATCCTGTTGATACAACAAATCCAATAAGACACAGACCTCCTCCATCTCCCAATCCTGGAAAGGGCGCTAAAGCGGATATCCCACGTAATCCTATTGCTATCAAGCCGATAGCAATCAGCAACATAGGCGTGTCTATCGGCAGCGATGCTTGATATCAATCAGCAACATAAGCGTGTCTATCGGCAATGATTCCATAAAGTCTAGGAAAGATACAAGACAAAGGCTGGTCACCACACCAAAGATCCTCCCAGGACCGAACACATCTACCATCCCGAACTTTGAAACGAATATGAGAAGAGAAGACATCCCACTCCTTCCGAATGCATTTCCACATGCCCACTCCTCCAGCAATGGAAACTGGGCAGGAAGACCATCCACCTCTTTCTTCCCCGAATCTACAAGAGACAATCCTTCACGGGCAATGACGCTCCCTACCAAATCTCCAAAACAACTTACCCAAAAGGGGCCATTCTCTTAATACCTAGGCCAACCAACTTAATAGGCTTGCAGATGTGCTCCCATCTAGCGAGATGATATTTGAACTCGTCACCCCTACTGCCCCAAAGGAAATCTCGTTGGATCTTTTCAATCCTTTCGACAATAGAGCATGGAATCTAGAACATAGATAAGAAATAAGTAGGAAGGCTCGAGAGAGTGCTCTTTATAAGATTGATCTTCCCGCGCTTCGATAAGTATTGATTTTTCTACCCCGCCAATCTCTTCTCGTACCTATCAATCACAGGATTCTGATACAACCCTCTCCTTTATGAAATTGTTCATTTCATTCTTGAGGTGAACTTGCTTCCTCCCACTTCATTCAGCCGGAGCTGGTGAATTCAATGACTATCTTTCATTCATCTGAAAGTGAATTGAAATACTCCTGGAATAGGGGTTTTCCCTCAGAGGTCCTGGTAAGTGCCCACCCTTTTAGAAGAGACCGCCAAAGGCAAACCCAATTAAGGAATATGGAAAGAACTCACCCCGCATCCAAGAACTGCAGCTAGGGAGTAAATGTCCTGAACTTCCCCATCTGGGACAAGCACACTCTTACCAACATTAACTTTCAACCCAGAAACCGCCTGAAAACAAATTCACAATTTTACTCCTAATTTAACCTACTTTGTTTTATACTTCTCACACTTTTTTTTTTTCCTGAGTAATTACTGACTCACACTTAACATTCTTCATATTACAGATTACATATACACACACACACATACACAATTCTTCTTCTCCACTGCAAATCCATCCGTTGATGGGCACCTTTTCCATCGTCTCTCTCCCCCTCTCCACCAGCAACAACATATGCCTTAAAAATTTCAAATTGTAGTTCTAGAGGGTTTCTTGAGAGGGAGAATAGTTTTGGGGGGGTTTATGCAATTTATCCAATATTTAATATGCATTTTTGTAAGATTGTTTTTTTAGTAACTTAGATCCATCATGTAAGCTCCATTCAAGAAGTTCTTTGTGTACAAGTTATGTTACTTTCCAAAAGGTAAATTTCTCTTTGTTCTTTATAGTAGGTTTTGGTTCTGAATTAGAACTATGGTTATGTGTTTGACAGGTGCTGGAGATTATTTATGATCAAACTTTGGAATCATGGTGTGCTTGATGCACGCACCATGAACAATTGTAATTTAATACTCGAGCAATGCCAAAGCCAGCAGGACACAGATCTTACGAGAAGCTAAAGCTTTGATAATTCATTTTTTGATGGCGATGAAGACTAGCGTCCGTACTAATTTACTGATCTCTGTCACTGCATTTTGTAGCACTTTTTGTATCCTATTTAATCCATTGAGCTTTTGTATGGTGGACTAGATGTCCTAGCCTGGCTTCAATCCTATTGTAATATTGTACCTGTGGCCTTACATTCAAATTCTACACAGGCATCTATATATATCTTCCTGAAATACTCGTAATAGAAAAGGAAAGAAAATGAAGCTGGCTGCCATTTGGTTCCTTATGCATTGTGTTGAATTGACTAATGTTTTGTTCTAAGAAAAATGATACATCCTCGTCGACTTGATCCTAAATGGGTGCTATGAGGGGGATGTGGGCCTCACTCCATGATGTCAGGGTGATGTCATGTGATGGGATTCATGCCCCACTCACATACAACTTATTGTCATCTTCCGAATTCTTTGGCATTCTCTAAATTTTAAGGATGTATCATGGATATTGATTTATGGTCACTATGGAAATCACCTGTCATTTATCACTTTAATTCTAGTTTCAGTATATATAATTATTATACTATATCTTAGGATAAGCAAGTATAATCTACCATTTTATTTATTTTTGAGGCATTAGATTCAAATAGTAGTTCCCTGAATGAGTTTGCTCGTGTTTGAGTCTCCCATCTCCTAGTTTGTCTATATTTATTTCCCATCTCCTAGTTTGTCTATATTTATTGTGAATTCATGTGGCTGAGGGAGGATGTGTCCTAAAAAGTTGGAAGAGGATCCTTCTAGTTTGGTGTTGGCCTAAGGTGCTTTTGTGCCAAATGTCTTGTCTACCCTTCCGTCCTTCCCATCTTCTCCCTTCTAGCAAACAGTGGAATTTGGCTCTAACTATTTCCTTTTCTGTTGCCAATTTTCTTTTGTTTGGTAGCTGGAGTAAGCCTCCATTGTTTAGCATAAGAGAGAGGAAGAGGGAAGCTTCGTCCCTCTGGACCCACCATATTGACTTCCATCCAAAAAGTGGAAGGAATATGAAAGAAACAATGAATATATTTGTTAGATAAATTGGAAAATACTTTATCACCATCATTTACACGCTTTAATTTTTATGGTAATAATATCGCCTCTTTCTATTCATTCAACCATATAAAAGGAGCGATGAATACCCGTCATTCCTTAGATATACCTTTCCATCCTTAATCTTGTTTTTATTTCTCTCTATTTTTATTTTTTATTTTTTATTTTTCAAAACATCTACTAAAAGAAGTATAATTCAACGAGGTTATTGGTACCGCTTGGCATTTAATAGGTGACTAACATCATATTTTGTCTGAGTACCACTATATTTGCTTGAATCTTAGATGGAATCAGTTTTGAGACCATGGAATTGTTTAGACTAATATATTACTTGTCTACGCATTCATGATCCACTATTGAGGAAATTTATGGAGGAGAGTGTTCTAAAGTTTCAATCCATCAATTTCGATAATTGTGTTTTTTAAATAAAAATGAGTGGCCACCCGACTTTTATAAAGTGTGTTGCAATCCATAGGGTCATTTTATAAAACTTAGAGTGCATGGACCAAGTGGGAGACTGTTGGAATTTATATATATATATATATATTTAAATAATAAAAATTATTTTATGGTCCTATGTACTACGTTTTCTAAAATAGGATTGCAATGTAATTATTAATACTTGATGGATTGGGTTGTACTTTCTAATTTGGTGGTCTAATTGGGAGTATAGTTTTATATTGTTGGATTGTGGTTTTCCAACTTATTTGGTGTGATTTAATTCTAACCATTAATATCTAAGTTTCAATGATAAGAAGGGAGACTTAGATATACTTATTTGTAGAGAAGTCGTCCCCCTTGTTGTTATATATAAGGGTGTTAAAACCCTTATTTAGATCTATCGTATCGACAACTTTCAGAAGGGGGTAAAGCGCTTTATTTTTTCAAATCTCTCAAAGGGTCATAAGGAATTCCCAAAGGTATATGTGCGTTAATCATCAATCAGGTACGAGCCTAAATTCCCTATTTAATTAATTGTAATATTCTTGATTTCTATATGTGAATTATTTATTTAAACCCATCAACTGGTATCAGAGCCTGACCCAGCCGGAAGTGTGCCGACGGGGGCGTCGGGCCTTCAAAGGGGGTGGATTGTGGTGACCTTATGGGCGGGTGTGCTGTGGGCGGGTGCGAGAGACACTGTCAGGCTACCACACTGGCGAGCTACGGGTGCACAGTCCCACATCGCCTAGGTAGAGGAAAGGTGAAGTGTTTATATATAAGTGTGTCACCTCCAATTGGTATGAGGCCTTTTGGGGTAAAGCCCAAGAGCAAAAATCGTGCGGGCTCAGGCCCAAAGCAGACAATATCATACTATGTGGTGGAGTGGATTATTACAAATCCCTTCAAGGAATTGTTTACATCTAAGTGAATTCGAATAGGTGACTCACTTTTATTGCAAGTTGTCTCACCATGATTGAAGATGATGCAATGTTTGAAGGTTGAAGGGATCAAGGGATGCTTGGTGCAAATGCATAGCAATTGTATCTCAAAATGAAGTTAAGACCGAAAAAAGCTCTCATGAAAAATTTTCTTCTGTAATTATTATTAGTTTTTTATGAAGGTACTGGTAATAATTTTATCGGAAAAATTATTCAAATATTATGTTTGGAGGGTGGTTCAAATATTATGCTATTGTAAAAATATTGATGATAAAAATCTTGGCAAAAGTGCAAAAAACTCCCCCAAACTATCATGAATCGACATTTTACCCTTCTGAATTACAAAAGTAAACAAGTCAGTACTATAACTATCCAAATCGTGCAAATTAACCCCTTAAAGTCAATTCCGACAACTTTCAGACCCACAAGTGCAGCATGTGATTTATCCTTTTCTTTTAATTCCAAAATTGCCCCCATTTGTTCATTTGCTGCTTCTTCTATCCTCTAATCTGCTCCACCTCTGCACCGAACACTCAAACAAAGTTGAAGAACAAAGTTGAAAACCTTTATATGTGTGTGTGTTTTTCTGTATTATATATATAGAGTAATGATCTCTTGCTCCCCATGAAGTAAGAAAATTTATCCGCACTTTCTATTGAGACCATTAGATCTAATCTAACATTCACTATAAAAACCCACCTATATTATTTCCTTTTAATACAAAACCAGTATCACTATTTCTAGTTTCCAAATTTAACATTTACCAAACCACTAATTACAACAATAAAAGGTAATTATTCAAAAATATATATATAGAAAACTCTACACCTTTGAAAATAACGTCTCTTTCAAACAAAGACCTACAAGAGTACCTTCTCTTTCTCTATACAAATTGAATTTGCAAGTTCTCTACCGCCTTTGTCTCCTTGTAATCATAAGTAAATAAAAATGAATCATAATTAAAATTTAATGGATTAAAATATCTTTTTTTATTATTTTTTTTTCTGGTCGCTTGTAATTTTTTGTTTGAGAGAGACGTTATTTCCATAGAAGAAGAGGTTTCAATTTTTTTTGGGAGTAATTACCTTTTATTATTGTAATTAGTGGTATGTAAATATTAAATTTAGAAATTATAAATAGTAACAATGGTTTTATATTAAAAGGAAATGATGTAAGTAGGTTTCTATAACAATCGTTAGATTAGATCAAATGATCAATATAGAAAGTGCGGATGAATTTTCTTGCTCTCTCTATATATATATATATATAATCATATATAATGTAGAATATTTTACCGGACAAATTCCCAAGCTGAGGAGGAGGAATAGAACCAGATAGCTGATTCACCCCCAAATCCAAAACCTTGAGGGATTTCAAGTGGTCAATCTCTTTTGGTAATGTACCAATCAGACCGTTCCCACGTAAAATTCTATAAATCATCAATATATCAAATTATTAACAAAAAGATCAAGTATTCAAGTGCAATGTGGAATGTAACCATACAGGTCTTGTAAGGAAGAGAGCAGACTAAGTTCTGGTGCAAGAAAACCCTTTAAAGATGACCAAGAAATATTTTTGCAAATCAAATTCCACCACAAACTAGTAACTCAAGTAAGCCCTAAAAATGAATATTATAGAATCACATTAATAATGAATCAACAATATATATATATATATATATATATATATATATTTGTATGTATCTGTATAATGTAAAATTAATAAACAAATAACATTTCTTACAGCTTCACAACAGAACAGGAAATGCCAGACCAGTCACAAGGATCTGCATCTAGGGTATTCCAATTTGACCAGGAGTGGGTTCTCAAGTACAGTTTCCTTAAAGGAAGTAACTACAATCTCTTAGGAACACAAGTAGTTTATAGAACTTCAAAAACCAACGAACCCATTAAACCAACATTTAAAAAAAAAAAAAAAAGAAAAAGAAAAAGAAAAAGAGAGATGCAGAGGAGGAAAAAAGGGGAAAAAAAAGTTTGAGGTATGGGTTTATCAAGCAAGAGAGAGAGAGATTAGATACAGAAACCAAGAGTACAATGGTGGATTTATTGTAAGTGAAATAAAGAAAGATTGAGCAAAAAGATTAAAATAACAACAACAACAAAATCAAAAAATAAATGAAGCTTAAGGGTAAATCCATGTGTCCGCAACAAACCATGAAAGCTAACAAATGGGATCTGGGATGAGAAAGTGAGACTGAAATTAACAACAAATTGGAACTTAGATTGGGGCATTTAGGGTATTTCACCCTTATTATTTATTTTGATATTTTTTTTTCTTCTTTAAATTACAATAGATAGTTTTATAAATCTACAATGAAGTAGGCTGAAAAATTGCAAGAGTTGATTGTCAGGAATTAATTTTCACGATTTGAATAGTTGCGGTACTGATTTGTTGACTTTTATAATTCCAAGAATAAAATGTCTATTTTTGATAGTTCATGAATTTATTTTGCATTTTTGCCAAAAATCTTAGAGAAATGGTTAAAAGACACAGTCAAGTTGACAGAACTAGATGCTTATGTAACTGTAGGCCAAACTGTCCTATCCACACGTGCGCGAGTAACATGCAATGCAAGTGACTAAATTTTTTATAATAAATAAATAAAGTATAAAATATATTAATAATATTAAACTTTGAATGCTAGTTTTTGATAAGCTATCTATATTGATGTATTTACTTAGGAATAATTTAACATGTCATAAATAGTCAGAGGGAAAAGAAATAAATATAAATCAAGAGAAAGTTTCTATTAATGTAAAAATTAAAAACAAATTCGTGGGAGGGAGTTTTCTATTTTGCATATG